TATATATACTTTAGTTAGAACCTATTCAATGGTTAGAAAAGCCGTCTCCAAGAGAAAATCGTGCAAGACAAATATTTCTGCTGACAGATGGAGAAATTTCAAATGTCGAGCAAGTCCTCGATATATGTCGTTCGATGGCTACCTCTACACGTATATTTTCATTTGGTTTGGGTCATTCACCGAGTCGTTCACTCGTTAAAGGTCTTGCACGAGCAACAAATGGATCCTTTGTCTTTATTCCGCCTGATACGAGCGTTGACGTACATGTTGGTGAACAACTTCGAAAAGCTCTACAACCTTCCATAACGAACATACAAATAAAATGGAACGTAGATATTGACATTATGCATGCACCTACAAAACCACCACCAGTCTACGCTAATGATCGTCTAATAGTTTATGGACTAGCGAATGATCCAAAATTTGTGTTCGATCATAATTCCAGTGTCATACTAAAGATTGATGAGAATCGTTTGGGAGAAGCTAAAATAAATTGTATACCGCAGGTTAACAACAATAAAATGATCGCAAGACTTGCAGCTAAAGCACTAATTCTCGAATTACAACATTCGAAATTAGCATCATCAACCATAAAAAACATTACAGGTTCATTACAAAGTCGATTTAAAAACGAACAGTTATCTTTGACATCAGCGATGACAGTTGATGAGAAAGAAATTACAAAACAACGTATTATTGAACTTTCACTCAAGTATCAAATTTTAACTCCACACACTACTTTTGTTGGTATTGAACAGCGAATAAATGGCAACAATGACGGTATGTTCTTGCGTGAGGTACCTATTCAAATATCGACTGATGATCAACATTTATTCGGATACTTTCCAATGAGTTCTATTCCAAAGGTAAATTGCCATATGGCAGCACCCTCAGTTGCTCCATCATCTACGTATCGACATGCATGTGGTTCAACTTCCCTTGTTACGTCATTTGATCGGTCTTCCGGAGGAAACATGTTTGATCCTTGCGTTGATGATATTACTTCTTGTTGCCTGTTCTCTGAAGTATCGGAAGATTTCCTCGAACTAGACGATATCCTATCCTATAAACAGAAATGCGATGTGACTGAAATACATCATCCAGACGAAGAAGAGCCGTGGCCAACAGAAGATCAAAATATTGTTCGCTATCTTATCAACAAACAAAAGTTTGATGGTTTATGGGATTTAAATGAAAAAGATATAGAAAAACTAACTGGAAAATCATTAGCAAATTTTTCACAAATTGAGAATCCGAAGGTAGCCATGTTAGCTATTGTAATAATCACATTAGAAACACGTTACTCAGCAGTATCTTTGATGTGGCACGGTGTCATACACAAAGCTCGCAAACGTCTTCTTGAATTACTCGGCAACAATGCTGATCAGCTCCGATCAATTTTAGAAATGGTTTGTCAACAATTATGAATGTTTAGGGTAATCGAACGCATTTGAACTTGTCATTTTTTATTATGAATTATTTCTAGTAGTAAAAAATAGAGAAAAAAATTTTTTCTAATGTTAAAATTGAATCAAATAGTTAAATTGAATTATTAAACGTATTGCATTGTATTGGAGAAATGACGAGTATCGATAAGGTGCTTTTCGATTGAATAAATGATAATGAAATAGTGAATCACTATTATTGTAATTAAGAAATCTGATAGAGAGAATCATGGGATAATAGTACTAATCTTAAACATCAAATTCCACATGATTTTTCTTTTAATAATTTTACTGTTTGAGGTGAATTCTTGATGTTATTTTCTCGAATACGTCACTATAACTGGTAATTTGAAAGCATGAAAATCAGAAAAAACTGGTCATTTAATTGAGTAAGCGAATTTGGAATGAATGCGAGGGTGGGTGTGGGTGTGGGTGGGTGTGGTGTTGGGTGGCATGTAGATGGAGTGCGGGCGTTGTTTTAGAGATAATCAGCACCCATATACACATCCATCCACACTTACACCCCACACCCACATCCACCTGACACCCACCCATACCTTACACCCACATCCACCCGACACTTACCCACACCTCACCCCCAGCTTAAGCCACCCCACACCCACCCACTCCACCCATACTCACCCACATCCACCCCACACCGACAAACACCCACCCAAGCCATACCCACACCCCACCCATCCACACCCTATGTGGTCGCAGATCTACTACTTTCTGAGCAAGCTGAATATGGTTCGTCATACAGTCTCATGTTGGTTTTTTCCAACTTTCCTCGCTTGAATGATTCTAGGCATGACCGATAGTAACTTGTCAATTATAAGTAATGATGGTCGATAGTAATCATTTATCTTTCTAATTTATCTGGGAAGGAGAAAAAGGAGCGACAAAATCATTCATGCATGTAATAGGTAAAGAGAAATGTAATATTTATGCTTGGGCAGGCGAAAGCACAACACTGCATTCAAAAGAGAAACGATACACTGTTTTTCATTCGCGTTCTTGATTTCACAGCAAAGAAAGACACATTCAAGTTCGACGATTGTTGTGTATTGGCAAAAAGCATTTGAAATATTCAAATTTAACAGTTGCAACGAATAGAAACAAGAGTAAGTATTCCTATTTCATTTTTTGAAATGATATACAAAAATAATGACTACGTTTGTTCTTCAATACTCTTGCGAGCGTTTCACAATTTTGCCGAAATTTGCTGGTATTTGTAAAAAGATAAGGCACACTGTTTAGTGTCTAACGTTCAGAGTTTCTGATAGGAATATGAAGCAGAGTACACACCAATGCTTCATTGTCAATGATACAGTACCTATGAATACTTTTCTCTAAAGCACCAAGTGTCTCAAAGTACTACTATAGCCAAGGAAGTGTTCAAAACAAAAAGAGAAAGTTATCTAGGTCGCACATTCCACATTCTAAAAATGTCCATATCGACTGAAAAAAAAAGGTTTCCGAACAGTTTTTTGCTGGAAGAGTTTTCGAGCGGATTTCACAAAACTTTTAAAATTTTTTCAACTTCAAAATAGGTTTACGACCTTTGGGAACCCTTAGGAGGCATTGCGCGTAAGCCACGACCAACGTTGTTGAATCGATCTCAGCGATTTGACTGATATTTTTACAGTAGGTAGGCCTAACAGACTTAGAAAGAACCTAAGAATTTCAGCTCAAACGGATAATGTGTTCTGGAGACAAAGGTGTCGCAAGCAAGAGTGAGTGGATCTCATTTAGAGCACTTTATATTGCAATACTTTTCAGTAAATTTTCATTTTCTCGAAAACAACAAGAGATATAGCCGAAATTTTTTTTTACCATCAATACTATCAATGATGGACTACGTTTTTATATTAATAAAAGTATCTTATTATAGAATGACTTTTGCTTGATATTATATAGCATTTTCAGAAAACATCCTCGGGAAGATACGATAAGTTGGTCGGATCAGCTCAATAGAATAAACCGAGAGTAGTCTTATTTGTAAGAGCACATCTAATTGTGTCTACTGACGTTTTCAAAAATTTGTGGTATTAAGCTTTGGTAGCAAAAATTTTTTGAACAAGACTGGAATGACAGGATAGCATATACATCCCGTCTAATTTTTCTGATATCCATATTTCAGTTAAAATGCGATCAAAAGATCGAAAATTTTTACCATAAACTATTCTCATTGAGCGCTTAATATGCACAAAGTTTCAGCTCAAAATTCGATCTTTGATTGTTCTTCATGGTCTTGGGGGAAACTACGACAATTGCTCACAGATAATTTGAAAAAAATCAAGGTTCGAATGTTGAGCTGAAACTTTATACATATAAAGTACTTGATGAGTGTAAATAATGATAAAAAATTTAGGTTTTTGGTCTTATGTTAATTGAAATATGGATATGAGACAAATTAGAGAGACTTAATGCTATCCTATGATACTTCACGAAACTAAACGATTCACCATTTTTCACAGACAAGTTAAAATGAGGTGAAATTTTTAAATTAGAGGTTTCTAAGCAAGAACTTACATCTGAAACACTTATATCAGACATTTGAAAGAAAATTACCAATCTTCATAGTGAGAATGGGGACCGAAATTCGGTCTTTTCAGTCTTGTTCAAAAAAGTTTTGCTACCAAAGTTCAATGCCACAAATTTTTGAAAACGTCAGTCGACACATTTTCATGTGCTCTTTCAAATGAAACCATTCTCGATGTGGGGTGTGGGTGCGGGTACCAGTCTCATTCTCACCCACAGCTACATCACCATACACACACCCACATCCACACCCACACCCATATCCATCTTTTTGCAATCGTCGTCTATATGAATTAATTTTTCTGTATATGAAAACAAGAAGAAAAAGAATTGTATGCTTCATAAACGTATCTAACCAATACAACCTGAGACATGAATTGTTAATCGAGCTTGAGTCTTAACTCAAAACTAAACTGTTTAGGAGTTTGGATACCTGAACAAACCCAAACTTCCGAACTTTTTGGGTTTGAGTTTGGGCTTTGGTGTTTCCTAGATAGAAACATAAGAGAGTTACAAATAACTCACGAGGGAACATCTCCAACTGTCAAATCGTTTCTCGCTAGGGACTATTGCCGTTTGATTGCTCTCGGTGAGTAGTGAAAAAGTCTATTTTGGTTTGGTTGTCTGGTCTTCCCTTGTCGAGCTATGGGCGCTTTACTTGATTTATGGTCTCTGGACAAAGATTTGCTGATAAGCTAAATTATCGAATTTCGAGCTGAAATTTGGCTCATAGATAAGTTTTATCGTCACTAAAAATTTACCAAAGTTCAAGTCGGGAAGAAAGTTTCCTTGTCGAGATATTTGCTTGTCATGAACATGTCCTTTTAGCGAAACATTGCCAAAAAAAACGCGTTCTTTTAAATGTGAATATTTCAATAAGGATATGCTCTTTCTGGCTCAAACTTTGGTGAATTTCTGGTCATGATAAAACTTATTCATGAGTGAAATTTCAGCTCGAAATTCAAAATTTAGCTTATCAGCAAATCTGTGTCCGTAGAACATAAATCGAGTGAAACGGCTATGGCTCGATAAGGGAAAGTCAGAAAACCAAACCAAAATAGACTTTTTCACTACTCACCGAGAGCGATCAAACTGCAATAGTCACAAGCGAAAAACGGTTTGACAGTTGGGGATGTTCCCTCGTCAGTGTTTGATTTCGTCTTGGTCAAGACATATGACAGATATTTGTTTAATGTTTCTTTCAGATAACGACTATCTTCCGTTTCTAATAATATTTTTTGCTCTACTTCATTTTTAATGATTGCTCCAATATGTTCGGTTACATTCAGATCAGTTGATTTCCCAGACTTGGTGTCGTTTTCGCTAAAATTGATATTGTCGTCGTGAAGTAAATATTGAGTCATATTTGCCCGCATACATATTGCCTTGTCATGAACAAATACGACATGATCCACATCGATTATATTTTCTTCATCATTGAGGAATAGAATTACATGTTGTATTAAAATAGTATCACGAAAATATTGATTGGTGCACGATTCACCTTTATCATTGAGTATCCAACGCAACTTTTTTGCAGGGCAAATGATAAAAATGTCGATGTACGCTTGGTTTTTAACAATTTCACGATATCTTTCATTACCTTCAATATCTTCAATACTTTTTGCTCAAACTTGATCATTCTCATAACTTGGCCTGCGAACAATTCAAACATGAAATTCATCGGATGGTCCAAGATGGAGAAGATCCTATCGAGTTCAATCTTTTAACTAATCACAGAACCACACCCTGTCTGAGATATGAGTTTCTGTGTTTAACGGCCTTTGAATAACACGAAACGACTGTATTCCTTCCCTACACGATAATTGGCAATAGTTTTTGGAACAATATATTCCTTGTGTTTTTCTGCAATTTCTTCCACCAAAATAGAAATACGTTTCCTTTTTTTCCCACTTGCGCTGAAACTTATGTTTCTACTTGGATCTGATAGTTTAAGTTTACGACCACATTCGGAATAATCAGCAAAACAGTTATCATGTGACTTTTTCCCACATTCTGTAACAAATCCCGTAAGACGATGAATTTTGTCTTCAATCCACTGTCGATGAATAAATGTTGCACCGGCATTCCGAACCTTACGAAAAGCAATACATATGATTCTGGCGATAATTCTTTGATGTTCTACATCCTACGTATCAGGTATTTTCAGCCAACTAAGTTAATTGGCTGAACAAAAAGAATCAATTATTTTTGTTTATTAGATTTATAAAACAGCGAAACGATCTTATATAGTGTTTCACACATGCTTAAAAATTTCGCTCTATAGAGAAATGAAGTGATAAAAAAAATACACTTCGATTATTGAAATCAAACGCTGATGCGGAATGGAAAAGCAGCTTGCAATAAATAAAAATGAATACTGCTTTATCTTTTCTATTGGTCAGGGGTTATGCAGCCATTCGTAGTCAAAAGAAGAA